GGAAGGTCAAACTTGATTGGAGTGATGCCAGCTCGCTTTCGTCTGCAAAACAACAACAAAGAGAGATATACAATAAGTTACAGATTAGCTACTTGATGAATTCGAACCACTCTGGTAATAAAGGGAAAAAAACATAAGAGTAGATATCTTGAGCTCACGCCCGGTCAATATTAACACCGACAGTACGTACCGAAGAATAATTAATTTTGGTAATGTGCTTTATTAATTTGAGGAATAGTTTAAAAATAATATAAGAAGGAACAGATCATCAAGGTATAGATCGTTTACACTCACGTGGGCAGCAGCTGTGTATTTTTTGGAAAAAGAAAAAGACATGAGAAACGAGTTCAATTCTTGAGGATTTTTTCGGTACACCAACACCGTTTCATTGTTTTTGTACCCTAATATGGCCGCCGTGACGTCAGGTGAAAACGACCAATATTTGATTTTGATAAGGCTATCCGGTTTTCCATACTAAAACCATACTAAATAAATCTGACGAAAACTGCGAAGGAAGATGACGGCTCCTGTTTTAACACAGTAATCAGCAACAAGTTATTAAGTAGTGTGTGGTGCCACATAGGAACACTTCTAAAGAATTCATATCACTAATGTCAAATAATAACTCGTTAACTCAAAACAACAAGTACAGCTAGCCATTACAACACCAGAAATCTTGCTCAAACCAATACCCAAATAACTACATTTATGTAAGTTGAACAGTTATTTGTAGTATAAGTTGGACCGTTAGCCATTTGGAAGACAGTAACCACGCCTTTTCATTTAATGTGAACCCTTTGAACCCAATTATCAAACTTTAAATTCTCATTTGTTGCCCAAAGCATTCGCTATACAAATAGCGGGTAGAAGTTGTTAAAGCACTAGTAACATTCACACTATGTGATCAGGTCCTTCCTTCTCGTTACCACTCTGTTTGATAATGATCGCTATGCTAAGTTGAGTTTACAGATGCAGTGAGACCACATGACAAAAAGTTATCTTGTGGAGTACGCTTTTCATATCTAAAATCGAATTCTTAGTTGGGTGATTGAATGTAAGCTCGAGAAAGCCCAAGTGGGTACAATCAATGAAATTGCACTGTATAAACGCCACATCATTTTTTTAAACTTACTGCATACCTATGTACTTTGATGTTCCGATGTCGAGTCTTCAATTTTTTCGTTTTCTACGCCATCCAAACCTTCGACTTTCTAAAAAGGCGACGCCTGAAATTCATGTCTTGCTGAAATATTCTAAAAATTGTCAGTCTTGGAGGTTTATGTCCGTGAGTTGCAGCCACGCTGGGCTTGGAATACTTGTCCAAAAAATGAACTAGTTATTTGATTACGACATTTGCTTACTTTTTCAAGTGACAAAACGCAAATTGTCGGCCTTGGAGATTTAATATTGTGAGAGGCAGCCACGCCGGTTTTCTTGTGACTTGGAATTCCTGTCCAAAACATTAACTTCTTATTTGATGACTTGACAAATAATGCGCAGGGATACTTGAAAGAAAAAAAGGAAACAAACGGTAATAGTCCCAGTTTTCCTATTATTTCTCTTGTACAATGTTTTTCTTGCGTCGACCCCACTAGTCTGCCACTAGATAAAACGCTCCCATGAGTTAACGAGTTTTTCGCCCTAATATATAAGGTATTAAGACGCCATTGTCGCCTAATAAATTGCCCCAGAATTCTTCAGGGGTCTTTGGTCACCATATTCGAAGAGTGGGAGCTGGGGACGAGGTTAGTTGTCATGGTATTCTAAAAGTTTATTTACAGTTTTGTATTTCTTTCAAAGCTGCAAATGTAGTGTAAAATCTTCCACCGCAACGTGGCATTTTTTTGTCCGCACACAGGAAAAGTAATTTAAAACTGTTCCTTGTCCTCGAACTCTGAAGAGTACGGCGTGTTATTCCGGGAAGAACCGGAACACGAGTCAATGATTCTAGGAATCTCTCGATAAGTTTCGCTGCTGGAAGATTCTGTTATTTTTCGGCGGATGTCAGTTAACCGATCTTCAAGCGGCATCACATCCAGATTAAACTCCAGTCTTTTGGCGATTTCTAACGCTTCCTGACCAACTTTTTCAGCTTCAGAGAACTTTTCTATGCGGTAGAATAGGTCGACATTTGCAATGAGTCTTTGAATCTTCGATCCTTGAACCTCTGTTTGACGATAGTAATCACTCTGAAGAGTGTCCAAAAGCTTTCCAGCCTCTACCACATTACTTGGCCCGATTTTTCTGCTTCGGGACACACTTGTCTCACAATGAAGATTCATTATCGCCATTTTTGAAACGGCAACGTGCTGTTTTCTCACATATACGTGCTCTTGATGATCCAAACGACAGCACAAGTCGATGCAACGCCGCATAAGCTCCTTGGCTTCCCCAATGGCTGCATCTTTACTTGGGCCTGTCAGAATAGAAGCTACGTCTCGTTTGCAAGTGCCTTCCTCGTAGAGCAAGATTCCAACAGGCAAACAGGGTGGGAAGCCATATGCAAGTGTCTCTGCAGCATGCAGCCACTGCTGTCTTTTCTGGCCAAAGCGTTTTCGCCTTCGATAAAGTCCAGCTCTGTAGCAGTTTGAGAGCATTTCAAGCAAGCGCCGAATGGATCCACTGGTCTGAGGAAATCTCTTCTCTGCATCGTTTATTAAATCTTCAGATTCATCCAGCTTTTTCTGGTAGCACAACGCCACGCTTTTCTCAAGGTCGATTATGATTTGGTCCGTCAAACTGATGCCTGCTTGGTCCAAAAGTTGTTGGGCGCGAACATCAAACTCAGACCAGCGGCCATTGTCACGCGGAGGGTGTAAATAAGTGCACAAACGGTGAAACGACTGAAGCCCTTGTTGAAAACTGGCGCTATTAGTGTCGAGCGGAAGTTCAATGGAAGCAGGCGAGAGTCCCAAATCAACATCTGAACTCGGAGTGGAAAGTCTCGAATCGGGTTGTTGGTTTTTAAAGCGCTTCCTTCCCTTTCGTCGACTTTCACCTCCATGACAGCCCTTCCTCTTCCCTCGTCCGCATCCAAAAGAATGTTCAAGTTTTACGACAGGATAAAAACTTGTCATCTTGGTTATCTGTGCGCCAATTGCTGATCTTCGCCCGCTCGAATTTTGGGAGAGATCGGTGTTTTGCGACTTTGCAACGCCGTTTTGTCCTGGGGTAAAACCGGCGGACATAAAATTACTTCTTAGTCCATCGTTCGAAATGGAGTAGATTCCAGTGGTACTGGAAGCAGAAGTACGAACTGTGACTTCGTTATTGTCGCCCACCACAATAGTTCCAGAATTGTTGTACACATTAACGAAAACTTGGTTTGGATGCTCCGTGCCGCTTGAGCGAAGAACTCTAGGCTTCGATCTCACTTTTACTGGCAAGCTTGCCGTAGAAGTTTTCCCTTGGTAAGACGGAGTCATATTTGACAATGATTAGTTCAATATGTACACAACTAGCTTGGAGGAAGATCCTTTTCAAACAAACACAAAGTTTGCATTTCCGCGCTGATCGACTTGGACGGACTCGCACGAAGGGTCGCACAACACGAATTCTGTATTCTATCACCAGTCTTGTCTTGATTTAGCCTTCGTTAAATCTTCTTTTCAACGTCTTTTAATGGCCAGAAATCGACAACGACGTCGAATTTTTCCACACAAACCAAATGAGGATCACATGATCAAAACAAACACATGACGACAAGAACACAATTACGTAACATCTGGCTACTTCTACGCTTGGACTACGTCAGAGGGCTGACGACCACAACTGGAAGTAGGTTTTCGCCAGTTTTGTGGATCTTGCTTCCCCAGACGTCTTCGCTCAGAAATCAAGAGACTTAGAGACCTCAAAGCGACAGCGAAATAGATTGAAATATGTGTTTACATGGAAAACCTGATTTAAAATCGAAAGATAATGCGTGAGAGAAAGGGAAATTTCCCGAACTATTTAACCTAAATGAACTTTGGTCCTTCACTTCATACAGTACCAATCAGAAAGTAGTAGTTCTTACAAACTACATACAGCGAGTCGTTTGACACCCTTTTTTTGCTGCAGTCTATCATAAAATTTCTGATCATTTATATCTCGCAAAATTGACCATAAGAAAAATGCTTAACAAATATAAAATGCCCCAAGGGGCATTATTATTCCTGCTATACTAGCCTCGGCTTGTCCGGAGCTAAGCTGTCACGCTAAAATGTTATGTATATGTTATGTTATGTTCCCCAACTAATAGTCTAAGGTTGCATTCAAAAAGAAACTTGGGATTTATCTTTGGATTTTAATTTAAATAACCCAAACCAGGATCAACGAACTCAATGCAAAAAATATGTCAGTTAACGTTATAATTTGTGAACTGAAAGCGCAGCCATTACTTATTCAGTTACGCAACGGTGACATCACAAAGAACGCTTCTCATGGAACGTTGCGTGACGAGGCAAGAAAGGCTGCGTGAGAGACTTTTGAATAAGAGACTAAATAAAAGCTGCTTCCCATAATTCAGGTCGATCAATGCAAACCCGGGGTTTAATAGACTGACTTTCATCCAGGTTCCTGTTTCTTTCGTTCAAAAGCTATTTTCCTGTTTATTTAGACCCATCATAATAGGGCGTCCAAACATTAAATTGTAGGCAAAAAGAATCAATAGGAAGCGCTCAGATTTAACACGTATCATGGGTTACTATAATCATGCTTGGTGAAACCGGGGTCTGATGATTAGACCAAGAATAAATGAATATAACAATTTAAATCAAATCTCCTAATTGACACCTCTATTAGTTATTTCCTGTGGTGGAGTGTTAGACTGAAATTGCCTTAGAATCTTGGGTAGAGGCACATAAACTGAGGCTCATAAACTTCGAATCCTACTTACATCTTAAACTTTTACTGTACTTCACTACCATTCATATTTACACATTGAAAAACTGAATGAAGATTTTACGCTTAAATGAGCTCTGAACTAAAACGTTGCTGGGAAACAAAAAACAAAGGAAACTGATATAGTTAAGTAATTACAGGTGAATAAAAGGCGCATTTTACAGTAAAACTGTAATTAAATCTTAAGATGTAAACAATAACAATCGAAAGTCTGTCAAAGTGATCATGACCCACAAATCATTTCCTTGTTCATTTTACTATTGAGAATAAGAGTAATAAGTTATAAACTCAAAGCGATGTGCTGACTGATCAAACATTGGAGCAGGAATATACATAAAAATATAAGGTACATAGTATTGACGACCTAGACCAATATCTCCTTGCTGTCAAAATCGTACCTGCACTCGTTCTGCTAATTTACCAATCAGCAAACGAAGCACTGCGCAGAAAATGAAGAGAAAAAACGACAATAATACGATCGCCTCTTATTTGGTCAAGGATCACAATCCTGACAAGCTACAGTGTTCTACAGCAGTATGTATATATCTGCGTAAATATTGTGCTTTGTATAGACATGTACAATCAAAGGTTATGTTTAAATTAAGGCCAATCACCGGCAGTGATCCATTATAAATAATGCAAATACGAAATACGTTGTTATATTAATCGGTTAGTTCAGTTTTTTTGTCAAAGGAAAACCTTAAGTTAATTTAGTTCAAATAGCTGCCTTAAAATTCAAGAAAAGATCACCAAGTCAGCAAGATTTTTTGGTAAAAATACTTCGCTGATAGGCGACAAGTCTTCCTCGTACTCTGATGAATATGGCGTGCTATTCTGGGAAGAATCGGAAGAAAAGTCAATAATTCCAGGGATCTCACGGAAGGTTGCGTTACTGGGTGATTGTATAATCTTTTGATGGATTTCAGCTAGCCGTTCTTCCAGCGGGTTGACATCTAGATTAAAATGCAGCCTTTTGGCAATTTCTAGAGCTTTGCGACCAATTTTTTCTGCTTTAGCTAAATGACCGAGACGGTAGCACAAATCAACATTGGCAATCAGCCGTTGAATTCGTCCACCTTGCTTCTCAGTCTGGCAGTAGTAGTCAGTCTCGAGAGTTTCAAGAAGTGTTTTGGCTTCTTTGATGTTCTCTGTGCTGATTCTTTCGCTTCGGGAAACTTTTGTCTCACATTGAAGCCCCATGATAGCCATTCTTGAAATTGCGATGTGTTGCTTTCTGACGTACACTTCTTGTTGTCGATCCAAACGACAGCATAACTCGACACACCGCTCCATGACCTCCTTGGCTTCAGCAATAGCCTGCTCTTTTTTCCACCCCTTAACTGTAGCGGCAAAGTCTCGCTTGTAGCCTCCCTCCTCATAGAGCACTATCGCAATAGCCAAACAAGGAGGAAAGCCTTGCGATTTTTCTTTTGCTGTTTCTACAAACATTTTGGCTTGCTCAAGAAATTGCTTGCGACGGCTAACTTGGCACATGTAGCAGTTCATCAAGACGTCGAGCAAACGTCGAATTGCTCCGCTCATCTGCGGAATGTTTTTCATCGAATCATTAATCAGATTCTCGGATTCTGTTAACTTTCCTTGTAAACTTAACGCTAAGCTTTTCTCCAGGTGAATAATGGTTTGACAAGCCAGGTTATCCGCGTTCGTTTCCAACAGACCCTGAGCCGCGAGCTCGAAATGATCCCACTGTCCGTCGTCTCTCAATGGGTGGAGATGGGTGATACAGTAATGAAATAAATCGAGCGCTTGCTCCAAGTTGGGGCTGTCACTCTGAGAAGCAAGGAGTTTCATCTCTCCGACGAACTCATTGGAGCGTAAGTTGGAACTACTTGACGGGCTACGTCCCTGTGGCAATTTCTTCTTTGGCTTTTTCCCCAGTGCCCCGTGAAAACATTTTCTTTTCTTTACCACTGGAAAAAGCTTCGATACACTTGTTAACTTCTTTTGATTTGCTACCTTTTTTCCTGAACGGGATATTCGACGGGTATGCTGTACATTGCTGCTCATAAGTTGTTGAAGGCAGCCAAGAGGGCAGATCCTTACGGCGTCCCCAGTGACATGTACATTTGTGCTTGGTACAGCATTAGAAGAATCTGTTAGAAGTACAGTAGCACCGCTTGAACGTGGCGAAGGGACGTTTGCTACGTTGTGGTCACCGATTTGCATTGTTGTAGGGTTACCGTTTACATTTATGTTAAACACAAATTGTGGTGAGCCACAACGAGTGCAAGACCGACGAACTGCCGCTGCAACTGTCGTTGGCAAGCAGTCTTTCAAGCACGAGGACGGGTTTAGTGTCATTGGTTAGTAAATCCGTCCTAAAAAGGCCTCGTTTAGAGAGCGAGTGATTTACACCAAAACAAGACGTCAGCACCTTTGGAAGCAGGTCTAGGCAGATATCCTTTGAATAGCTTTCCAAAAAAAGTGACGTGAAAACAGGAAAATTTATCTCCAGTTTTCCCTGACTTTTTTCCCTAAGAGCTCTTTCGACACAGTTTTCCCCGCTGTTCTCCGAAAACGTCTGCGATGCCAGTCAACCCATTTTCGACAGCGAGCGAGTTACTTTCACCTGAATAGCGATGAACCTACGCATGTCTACGAGCACTTTCAAAACAAAGATGACGTCAACCACTGAAAGAAGATATCACGTGACAAGAAAGGCGGACCTTGGCCAATTAGAACTTTCCAAATCGCTGCCAGAACATAACCAAACAAAATTTTATAAAACTGTAATTTCTAGAGCTAAGCCAGGGATTCGATTGAAATGTTACTTTTAAAATTGCTACACTCTAACTAACACTTTTGTGAAGTTCTATTGCAACCGATAAACACAAAAGCAAACTATGAACATTAATAATAATATTTGTCACGGGAATCAGGTTCGTCTCGCAAGTCACGTCTCTTTGTTTCCTCGGCGCATTTAAATTATGTATCAAATTACCAAAACAAACCCCTTTTTAAACGCATGTCACAGGAAGGTCGACTATTGTCACGTGACTCTGTGTTTATGTTTTAAAGGTTCACTTCCTTTGTACAAGTTTTAAAGAGACTACAGCGACACATGACCATTTTATTTTGAAGTGCGCTATTTCACCCCAACTAACTCGAGTTAATTCTTCATGGAGAGGTGAATAAGCGGTGAAACTGCTGTCTTTGTTCATGTATTATGTGGTAGAGTCTAAAGAAGGGCGTACGTCTTAAAACATGGCTGCGTATGAGGGCTCGATAGATACAAACATCGAGCCGAACGGAAACTTTGGTAGCAGCGATCAAGCGACACAACCAAAGATTGTCATCATAAACAAAGGGAATTTAATAATCGGCGACAATGGCAACATATATGCGCAAGCACCATCTTGTGGCAGTGGATTACAAAGATACCGTACTGACGCTAATGTTTCGGAAGACGATACGACAGAAGTTCTCAGATGCATTAGCAAAACATTAAATAATAACACTAATATGCCACTTTCGGTTGAAGAAAGTTTAGCGCGGGATGAAAGCAGTCAGCAGCTTCGCACAGAATACAAACGAGGAAAGCGTAAGGAGGACAGCCTTGTTTGTGAGGTGAGCGACTTTTTGAGGAGGAGAGGTGAAAAAGACGAACGTAAGCGTGCGAAGCGGGGCAAAAGAGATTCAAGCTTTTCCACTTCAAGTTCAGATGAAGAGCTAAGAAATGTCTCGACATTCAAGGAACTTACACCCGAGAGCGAGAGCGACGTCAACCTTGAACAGGGGCTACGACTGTTTAACTGCTGTAGTAAGCGTTTGCATCCTCTTCGAGACGATGGCCGATGGACTGACTTCGATTATGTTGCGCGGAAACTCTTGGATCTGGCCGGTGGCAACCTGACGTGCCAAATAATAATTTCTCTGGAAAAAAGCCTGCCGTTAAGTTATCAGAACAGGTTGGAAGAATCAGAGAATATGTTAAACGAAGCGGTAGAGAAGATTGCAGAAATAAGAGGATCAGTTCGGCCTCTCCTTGAAATGTTGTCAAAATGCTACCTCGCTGCAATTTATCGCCGGAGAAAAATACTTGACAGAACGGTCAAGTACTTAAACGAGGCAAAGAAAATATCGTTTCGATTTCCGTCAGGTCTTCCAATCGCGATCTTACTTTACGAGGAGGGCAGCTACAAACGAGATTCTGCTGCTTTGTTGAGTGGGGCTCAAAAGAAGAACACCATTAGGGAGGCCAAAGACTTGCTGCAGAGTTGTGCAGACTTGTGCTGCCGTCTTGATGGCCAGGACTTGTACGCACGTAAACAACACTTTGCACTTTCGAAAATAGCGATCATGAATCTTCAGTGCGAAACAAGTGGGACTAGAAGGGAAAAAATACCAACAACAAACTATGAAGAAGCACTACAGAGTCTGGAAACCCTTCGAAGCGACTGTTACTGCAAGAAGGAAGCAAAAACAGCGAGAATCCAGAGACTAAAAGCGGAGGTTGATATGTACTACCGCATCGAAAAGTTCTCTAAAGCTAAAAAAAAAGCCCTAAAAGCGATGGAACTCGTTGACAGTCTCGAGTTTTACTTAGAAAGAAAGCCTCTCGAAGAAAGATTGGAGGACATCCGACGTACAATGGCAGAATCATCAAAGCCATCGAGCCGAAAGAAATCCCGAGAGCCACACAGAACAGCTGAATCTTCTCCAGATTCGCTGTCTTCCCGAATTAATAGGCCGTACTCGTCGAATACGAGAATGAGGAGAAATTTTGAAAGGTGTATCATAATGTAAAGTTTATTATTTAAACTCAAATGCTAACGTGACAGCAACATATATAGTTAGCAGAACTAATTTTCTCTCTCCTGGTCAGTATAAAACTTACATATTTGCTGCAAACTTTCATCGAACCATATTAACCAAGAAAATCGTAGTAAAAAAAAACTAAGGGTGCCAAATAAAAACAAAACGAAGAAGACGATAATGAAAATGAAAGTGCTAGACATGCATAAATGCAAATCCCGTTGTTCAATATATTAATCACAAGGATCACGTATGTCGATGAAAAAATACAGCATTTTCTGTTCTATTGTCGAGAGAAAAACGTTTTTCCATTAAATCACTACCGACGAAAATTTGTTTAATT